AAGAAATCTCTAAAATGAAAATATTCAATTTTTAACAAATTACTAATTTTTTCTACTAGTTAATTTACAAAATTCAAATATAAATTTGAAAAATTCTTTAAGTTAAAAATATTTTCTTTGTATTCTTTAGAAGAAAATCTTCATACTAATCTGATTGTCCATATAACAAATTAAAGACAGCCATATAGTAGTCTCAAAATAGCACAGAAGTGTCAATTTTAATGCTATAAAGTAACTTATTTCCTCTAAACCATCACTGAATAATTCTAAATAATACAACAAAACATTGAAAACCCTCAGTAGCCATCCTAAGAATTAAACCATCTTCTTTGATTTCTTCTTCTCTGCATCTTCTTTTCCCCTTTCTATTTCAGTTACTTGTAATTCAATTTCTTTAGCACTAAACATCTTCAAAGGTTGATTTCTTCTTATTAGAGCAAGTTCAATGTTTTTTCCACCAGACTGGACAACTTCTAGCAAAGCTCTTATTGCTAATTTGATAGCTTCATTGTCGTTTGCCATGGCGTCTTCTGTGTAATTCTTTTCAAGAAATTCTCTCACAATTTTCGCACTTCGGCCTATTGCATTTGCCTTCCAAGCATGGTAAGTACCAGAAGGATCTGTCTGATACAATCTTGGGATACCATCATCATCAAAACCTACAATTAAGGCAGAAAAACCAAAAGGTCTTCTTCCATTGCTCTGAGTATATCTCTGCTTTAGAGTTGCTATGAAGCGAATTATGTACTCTACAGTGACTGGGTCTTCCACTGTAAGTTTATGACTCTGGCACTCCACACGGGCTCTGTTTATTACTACTCTAGCATCAGCTGTTAGTCCTGCAAAAGCCATGCAGACATGGTCATCAAGGGCACATACTTTTCTCACAGTTCTTTCATCCTGAAGTTTGGCAACAGATTTTTTTTCAACTCCAAGCACAACTATATTGGTAACTGGAATTCCAACCGCCGTGGACCCCTTCTTCACCGCCTCCTGGGCATATTCCACTTGGAAGAGGTGTCCATCGGGCGAGAAGACCGTGATGGCTCGGTCGTACCGCGAAGCCATTGAGCTGGACTCCGAAGAGCACAGAGACGAGGCCTACCTACCATTGGTTCCTAATCATATACTGTTGTTGTTAAGTGCCGACTCATAGCGACCCTATTAACGAAAGTCCTCAAATACTTTGTGTGACTTTCATCCTTTCTCCAGGTTCATAGGGTTTCAGGAGGCAAGCTGTTAATAGAAGTGGATGCCACTCCTGCTTCCAAACTTGTTTTAATCGGGAAACTCCACCAAACACTGTCCACCATGGGTAACCATTATTGCATTTGACACCTACCTCAGTGTCAGTGTTCAGCTTCACAGCAACCACAAGTTACCTCTGTACGGCAAATGGACACACTAGGGCTGTATGACCTAGAAGAATGTTTGACCAACAACAATTAAAAAAGAAAAATAATATACTACTTCCTGAAATTTTTAAATGTCAACTAGCTGTTTTTGTATAGTGACATTTTATTTTCATTTTCTTTTTATATTTCCTGTGTCATTCAAGATTTTGTCCATAGAATCTTTCAGTATTGCATTTCAAGGTTTGCTTTTTCTCTGAAATTCTTTCAGTGTAAGAAATGTGCTTCCCTTGGCTTTTCTAACTCCAAGTCTTTGTACCTTTCATTATACTTTGTCTTCTCGAGCTGCCCTGTGAAATCCCCTTCTCACCCCTCTCATCATTTCTTCCTTTTGCTTTAGCTGCTCTGTATTCTGGAGTATGTTTCAGAGTCTCTTCTGACACCCTTTTGGACTTTCTTTTTATGGACCTTTGTTTCCTGTATGATGTCCTTGAAAGCATCTTAGTACTAACTCATCTGACTTGATGATTAGCAGTACATCAGATCCTTCCTCATAAGGGGCTTTAAATTCAGTTGGAATATACTCAAGGCTGTACTTGGGCTCACGGCTTGAAGTTTCCTATGAGTGGTTGATAATCTTGTCCACAGTCAGCCTTTTACTTTGTTCTCAGACTGACAATATGAGCTTCTCCATTGTCTCTTTCCACATACATAGTTTATTTGATTCCTGTGTATGCCATCTGGTTAAGGTCATGTATATATTGTTGAGGTTTTTTTTATTCATTGTTGCACATTTTCTCCCCCCCCCCCGCCCACCCAATCCCACAAGGCTTTCCTTGCTCCAGATTGTTGTCTTATATATAATATTGTATATGTTGTTGGAAAGAGACATTTGCTTTGGAGAAGTTATTGGCAAGGTGAAAGTATCATGTTGCCACTGTTGTTTCTGTCACCGATTTTCCAACTGCCAGTCTGCCTTTGTTTCCAGCTTTTGCATTTCCATCACCACTGATGATCAGTGTACCTTCAGACTGCAGAGTTTGGGAGAATCTCCAGTTTCTTCACCTTTGGCCTTAATGGCTGGTGTGGAAAATTGTGTAGTGTTAGTTGTATTGGCTCGTCTTGTTAGCATGTGGATATTACCTTGTCACTGACAGTGTTGGACTTCAGGAAGATCTTGGAATGTTCTTTTTAATGATGAATGCAACACCTTTTCTCTTCATTTTATCATCTCCAGCATAGTAGTCTGTAGGATTACGCTGTGCAGGATGACCATTTTAGCTCACTAACGCCCAAGACACAGTGACTGTCCCAGTGCATGTCAGAGGTCATGAAGGTGGCACAGGGCAGGGTTCTAGTCACTGTGAGTCGAAGTCGACTTGAAGGCACCTGTCAGCAGTGGTGCCTAAGATACCGATCATTATGCATTCCATTTCATTTCTGTTGACTTTCATTTTTCCTAGGTTCAGAATTCTCCGTTCTGAATAATAATGAGCATTTGCAGCTGTTTCATCTCATTTTGAGTCATATCATATCAGCAGATGAAGCTCCTAAAAGCTTTGCTCCATCTATGTTAGGAAGGTCAGCTCTCCTTTGAGGACTCATTTCTGGCTAGTTGGGTTTTTTGAGTCCCTTCCAGCCAGAGGCACATCTCTTAGCACTGTCAGTATTCTGCTCTCACAGGGTGTTCCCTGGTCAGTTTTTTGAAGTAGACCAAAGTTCGCTCTTTCTACTCTTACTCTAGAAGCTATGCTGAAACTGGTCCACCCTGGGTGACCCAGTTGGTATTTAAAATACTCTTGTCTAATTTTTTTATAATCCTTTTTTTCATTGTTGAACATATTTTTCTTGCCTAGCTCACCCCACAGTGCACTCCTTGTTCCACATTGTTGTCATATATATAATGACTAATTGTATATTCCTTTTGGACAGTCCGCAGTGTTCATTATCCCCTCTTTTCCCATTCTCTTCTCAGCCCTCCTTGTCAGTCCTGTCTAATAATAGCAGTGTTATGCAGTGTTTGTTATTTTGTGACTGAAATATTTCACTCAGCATAATGTTCTCAAGGATCCCCCATGCTGTGTAATGTTTTACTATTTCATTGTTTTTCAGTGCTGCGTAGTATTCTTCAGTAAATGTAAAATAGTTTTTCTGTCCATTCTTTTGTTGGTGCACACTTGGGTTGCTTCCATCTCTTTGCTGTTGTGACTAATGCCCCAGTAAACATGCGTGTGCATACATCCGTTTGAGTGTGGCTCTGGTTTCTTGAGGGCATATTCCCAGCAATAGAATTGCTGGGTCAAATGGTATGTCTGTTTCAAACTTTTTTTTTTTTTTCATTTTTATGTGTGTGTACTGTCAAATAGATCTGACTGGTACAGGAGGAGATTGTCCCTCCTTCCTCGGCGGAGCATCTGGTGGATTTGAACCTTGAGTCTCTGGGATTGCAGTGCAGCTTCTTGCCACTAGGCCACCAGAGCTCCCCGTGTTTCAAACTTTTTGAGAGAGCTAGCACCAGACCAGGAAAACTTCCACAGCAACACAAGCTACCACAGTGACAGACAGCAGTGGGAACCAAAATGTAGACATTCCTATTTCAGAAACAGCAGAAAGGATAGAGGCAGAAACAACAGAAGAGCAGGTTGTGGTTGCCTCTGGGCATCAGAACTGAGCCTTGAAACACCATGGTTCAGCTTGTGCACTTACTACTTTGGTAAATGAATGTTGTCGTTGCTTCAGTTTCCACATTATTTTCCAGGCACTTTTTATCCTGTGTGACTCACTAGGCCTGGACCAGAACTTTGGTAACTTGGCACGTGTGCCTAGTTATTTGTAAGGGCGGTGGTGATAAGCATTTGAATTCCTTTGTTGAGTGAGGAGAGCTGAGAAGCTGAATTGCCTGTAGTCACTTCTGTCTCCACTCTTGTTCTCACTGGGCTTTGTGAGCTTTCCGTAGTAGCCAGGCTTGATCATAAATAAGCTTTTGTCACTTTGCTGCTTCACAGCCTGTGGATATCTTCACACTACAATTAAAATAAAGCTCAAATTCTGTGTCTTAGCCTGCCGACAAGGCCTTAATTAAGTGCCTCGACTGGTGCCTGACTCTCTGCCCCTCTCCCCCAGCGCTGTGTCTCAGCCTCAACAGCACACCCAGCCTAGGGCCCTCTAGTGGTGCAGCCCATAGACAGTTGTGCTGCCAACACAAAGGCTTTACTTCTCTGGAGTTTTCAGTCAGCCAGCTGCTCACTGAGAAAGAGACAGACGGCTTTTCTAGTGTGATTTGCAGCCTTGGAAGCCCCCTGGAGGGTCAGCTAGGAATCGGAACTGACTAGGCGGCAGTGACAGCGAGCTCCTAGCGAGGAGTCTTCTTGGAGGAGGGGGGTGAGAGGACATAAGAGGGTGTGAGATTTAAGTGAATGTGCATTGGTTTTCCATCCAACAATTCATGCTCATTATGTTCTGTGACATTGACTACAGCCCAGGTGTTGTAACAGCACTTTCCCATTTCCACTCCTCCTCCTTCCTGTCACTTTATGCCATCTGCACCTTCTCCCTAGGCACAGGCTGCACTGGTGCTCTTGGGTGGTAAGAGTTCTAAGGATCGTGTGGTGCTGCTGGCCGCCTGTCATCCTGTTGTTTGGCTGGAAAGTTGCGTCCCAGATGCTTGAGGCTTGAAGAAGGCCTTAGGGCTGCCACCAGTCTTTATGAGACCAGTAAGCATGATCTTTTTGAGAACTTGAAGTTTGGGTCCTCACTTGTCTCTCGCTCTGTCAGGGGCCCTTCCCTTGTGGTCCTTTCTGGAACATTCCGCAGGAACAGTGACTGTACGCGGCATTCTTCCTGCTGTCTTCATGACCTGTTTGGGTTTTTTCTGGATCGTGTAAGGGAGCACTGCTGGTGTATACAACAGCACTTCCAGGGGAGAAAGCTGGGCAGTCTCCCCCGTACAGTTTACAGCCTCGGAAACCCAGCGGAGGGTCTGCCATGAGTCATTCCCAACACAACAGCAGTGAGAGAGAAAGAAAGCGTATATAGAAACCTCATGTTGACATTAGGCTGTAGTCTTTTAAATATGTACAATAGCATTTTAGAAGATCTGAAATATTCTGGGAATTCCCAAAGTCTGGCAGACCCTAGTGATCATGTACTTTTGGAAAGGCGGTGCTGGTAGACTTGCTTGATGCAAGATTGCCAGAAACCTTTGCTTCCTGAAAATACAGAAATCAGTGTCTGTAAAGTGCAATAAAAGGAGGTCTGCCTCTGAACCAAAGTTCAGGTTTTATTGATATGCTTTAATACCGATGGACTAAGCAAGCAAGGTGGTTTTCTTATTGGTGTTTAAAAAACATCCATATTCAAATAAAAAAATAATTTAAAAAAAAAAAGAAAGGGGAGCTCTGGTGGCCTAGTGGAAAGAAGCTGCACTGCAATCCCAGAGGAGCACGGTTCGAATCCACCAGATGCTCTGCCAGGAAAGGAGGGACAATCTCCTCCTGTACCAGTCAGATCTGATTTGACGGTACGCGCACACACACAAATAATAAAATTTAAAAAAAATTAAAAAAAATCCATATTCAGATTATCTTCAAAGGGTTTTTTCTAGACTAAATATTAGATTAAGATTTGAAGAACATTTTAGTACATCAGTGTTTTAATGATTCTTTTGCAAAATAGGAAAATAATACTCTTAATATGTTCAGCGTAACATTTGACATTATACCACAG